TAAATAATTTTAAATATTATTAAAAAGTTACATAATTATTTATTTAAAATGAGACTTTTCAATTTTAAAATTTTCTCCCATATAATAATTTTTCTAATTTATATATAAATTACTGTTTAATTAATATATAATTTTATGAATTTTTTTATTAATATTGATAAATAATTTAATTTTATAATAAACAATAAAATTAGTTATTTAATTTACATATGATATATGCATATCAAATTGAATTTCGTCAACAGATGATTAATTTGATATGTTATATAAAAAATCTGATAACAAATACAAAAGCTGTTACTTTTTTAATAATATTTATAATTTAATATAGTTAAGAATTTTATAATTTTAATTGTCCTATGTACTCACAGGATTATGAAGTACCAGATGTCGATGAGACATTCTTACATCGGGGATTATATTATACAATTACACTTCTTTTATTTTTATTTTTTTTACCAGATGTCGGAAATATCACACAAAGTCTTGAACATGAGGATTTTTTTATTTATTGCCAACCATGATATTCGGAGTTATCCCGATTAATTCGTTGGTCGACTCGGGTGCACATTTGACAGTGGTGAGCGAATCTCCCAACAAGGGTTTTCTGCATTCGCAAGGACTCGAACTCGAAATCTTGTTTAAGCAACGTCAAGCTGCTTACCACTTGAGCGAATCCCAGTTGGTTCAACAATGAGCATTTGGATGCGCTTGGAAAAAAATTAAAAAAAAAAATAAATAAATAATAAAATACAATATATTTTTTTGTGTGTCCAGTGTGATTTTTTAATTAATCATCGCATCCTACAAAAACACAATGTAAATAATGTTAATAATTGAATAAATAGATTCTAACTATAAATAATATTAACAATTTTTTATAAATTTTTATGTAATTTAAAATAAATGAACTGAATAAATAATAAGTATTGAATTATTTATTACAATTTTGAAAATAAGAATTTTATTAAAAAATAAAATTTATATATTTATCAAACAGTTTAAAAAATAAGATAATATAAAAACTAAAAACAAGGAATAAATACAAATCATATATAGCTACACATTTAATTTGAAGAAATAAAAATATACCTTTAATTAATTTTAAATAAATTTAATTTAATTTTGTTTAATTTATTTTAATTTTATGTATGTATATATTATATTTATTCAATTCATTAAAATGTATTTTAAATCTTGATATTAAAATATATTTTATATTTAATTTTTACTTTATTTAAATGAAAGCATCTTTTTACTTTTATATCAAATAATAATATTATTTATTTATTATTTTAAATTACACATTTAATTTTATTCAATTTCATTTTATTTTATTTTAATTTCATTTTAATTATATTTTCTTATACTTAATTTATTTTGTTAATATTTTTTTATTTTTTTTTGTTTGATAAAGTTTTGCTCTGTTCTTTTTGTTGTAAATAGATCCTAGTACTAATACTCATAGACAATGTGTATAAAGTTATTTATGTCTACTATCAAACTTAACTGCAGAGCAAAAATAATATAAAAAACAACATCACGAAGCGTAGATTTTCGTCATGTCAATATCTGAAGCGTAAAAATCTGCCATCTAAGCTCAACACATGTTGAATTAATATATAAGGAGGGATGTGTTAAACATATAACCTCCAAGGAAAAAGCACTTGTACAACTTTTTTGTGCTAACATTTAATGACAACATGATGTGGCATAATATGGGTGACCGAGATAAAATTAATGTATGATTAAGATTTAATTATTTTATTTAGATTTATATTTATTTATACCTTTTTTATTAGTGTAGTTATTGGTTATTTTTAACTCTCGTAATAACATCTGTATTTTAATAACTTGATTTTTCTCTTTAATAATTCAAGCCCAATTAATAAAACTCGGTGTCGCGTATAATTGTTCTCTGTTCACGAGTACATAATTAATTTAATATAACCAACACAATAATTCTCTTTTTAAGAGTAAAATAGTTTTATATATCACAAACAAAATAGTACAAAAAGTGCCAAAAAATCAACAGAATCATCAATTTGGAACATTAATATTCTTATATATATTCAATGAAATAAAGAAGTCAAACTAACCAACCAGTCACAAACACAAAAATTGCCCCCACAACCGAACTCATAAACACCTGCACATGTAAAAAATACTAAACATTCAAAAATAAGATCCACCAACCACAGAAAAGGATAAACAAAACAAAGGGAAGACAAGAAGAAACAAAACCGCAATAAACGCTTCTCTTCCAATTTCCCTCTCTCAAACTCCCCTCGCATGAAGTTCTTCACTAGTTGCAAACCAAGAGACACTCCCAAAAGCATCACCTTACCATGCAACGAATATCCTCGACTCGAAAACGCCCAAAGACAACCAATAAGTTGGGCCAACAAGATGTCGTCGAACCGGAAGCTTCCGGAATAGCCCAAACAACCAAACACGGCCACGATATGCAAGTAAGAACCGAAAGCCCAAACCGACGCAAACCATCCCTCGAAATCATAGTAAGCTAATCCGAGGCATAAAAGGATGAAAGCGCCATCGAGCAATTGCTTCGCGTAACTTTTCAGCTTCAAGGGTTCGATCGTCGACCTCCGAGAAGATTCTATATGTTGTAGGGTGAAATTATACAATACGGCTGTTAACAGCGTGAACCATGTGGACACATACGTATATTCGGAGATTGCGTATATGCCCAAATCGAGAAAAAGGGAACTTGTGAATATTGCCACGGTAGACCAATGCACCACACTCATCTTCTTAATTTCTATAGAGATATAATTAAAGAAGGCCGAATTTAGACAGAAAGAGATATTATTATGTATTATAGGAGGAGTTAACAATGGTTTGAGGTTTTGGTGTTTAATATATAGAGAGAGCCAAAGGAATTATATATTAACTCCTTTTAGTATTAGGAGTCCTTTTCAAATTAAGGTTTGCATTTTTTTTTTTCTTTTTTTTTTTTCAATGACGGAAATTGTTTTCCTATTATTTACTATATATATATATATATATTTCCTTATTTAACAGGAAACATATTTCCTTAACGAACATATATTACTTTCCTTGTTTAACGGTAAATAAAACCTTTTCCTTAGTTTCAGGTTTTCCTTTTCCTTTCAGGTTTATGCATATGCCTCTCGACTGGCCATTAATATATTTATTTCTCACATCATCTGATGATCATAAAATAATAATAATTTGCAGATATGGATGAAGAATTTCACTTACCGGAGCACATAATCCACCGCATTCAATCCTTCCTCACCGGAAAAGAAGCTACTCGGACGTCTATCCTCTCCAATGCGTGGCACCACGCGGCCCTCACTCGCCCGAATCTCGACTTTGACGTACACGATTTCAGAACCGGTCGTGATGAAGACGAGCCATACACCGGCAGCTCAGACGACAAATTCTCGAAATTCGTGAGGATGACTATTTCGAGGTACGAGCAACTGAAGCTGAAGATCGGGAGTCTGAGGTTTCGTGAATATACCGAATGGGGGGATACTGATGATGATGTTACTTGCTCACATGTTGTTTATAAGGAATTGATCCCGAAAGCACTTAGTATGGGCGCGACTCGTCTCGACATCGGTGGAGATTTTATGTTGCCGAATGAGGTTTTTGAAGCTGAAAATCTTGTCCGGTTATCCGTGGAGAAATGTCGGATCGATCTAAACCCGCTGGATCGACCTGCTGCTGTAAGATGTCCTCGTCTCGAATCCCTTAGTTTAAGCCATGTCGATATCGTCAAGCCCAACCAGATTTATCGCATAATCTCCGGCTGCCCCTCGATTAAGAAATTATTTTTCGTCAATAATGTTTGCTATACGTGTTTGGTTGGTGTTGGTATCGCCAATTCCCATATGTTGACTTGTCTTCTTTGCGACATGACATTTTTAAACTTTGTTACGATGGGTGACTTATCCTCCAAGTTTCCTTTCCTCAAACATTTGACGCTACACGATTTCTGGGCTTACCCGAAAGAGATAGTGATTAGCAGCCGCTCACTAGAGCGCTTGAATTTCATTTGCTTCGAGCAATATTCAGAGAAAAAAATCAGGTTCGATGTTCCGAGTCTCGACAAGTTCACGTACAAAGGTCCTCTCATTCATCACATCTCTTTTGCACCAACTTCGAAATTTCGGGTGTCTCGACTGGCTATAGAGGAAAATGATGGCCTGAGCACCGCATGGTTCGGAAAGTTGGAAAATCTTGTAAAGGAGTTGGGGCGCTCAGAAATTCATATTTGTCTAAGTCTCGGCTCCAAAGCTATTCTCGATTATGAGGCGGATGAATTTCAACGCGTGTCGAAGCCTGAGGTGGATAGTGTAACCGTCCATATGGATGGTCTGTCGTCCATAACTTGTTACGTTCTTTTTGATGGTTTGTTTCGGATTTTTCGCCCTAAGATTATAGCTCACTACATACTTCCGGAGTCGAGCTGCGGTCGGAAGACAAACAATGATTTGCTCGGGAAGACACTCCTTGAGGGACTGAACGGGAAATTTTCGGCGATCGGGAGCCATTTTATTATGTGGAGTGTGAATGATATCAAGGAAGTAAATGTGCAGCTTTTGGATGATGATGATGTTGGTGTGTGGACTCCTCTGTCATGGGATTCATTTTTAGATGCTTCGAGAAGCACATATAGAAAGCGGGACGTTCGCTTTCAATTGGCATGGAAGCCTTAGATAATTAGTTCTTTTGTTTACAGTATATTAAAAAAAAAAAAATTGATAGTGTGATCTATTGTGAAAACTTTGTGTTACATTGGTGCTAATTTTCTTAGTTTATGGTATGCTTTGGTTGACTCTTTTATTTTCAATCTGTTTATTTGTCAAGTATTTGTAATATCACTTGTGGTTTTTTGTCTGCCAAACTATCGCAAATTTACAATTTGAAGGATAGAAATCTCTCTTTTACATGCATGAGTTTGGTGGGCAAATTGCATTAACCCTTACAAAAAACGACAAATGCTACAGTCCCGTTACGAAATCATTCCGTCAGGATTTATAACCGTCGTGAATAGTTGATCTAACGGTTCCAAACTCCGACGGAATGGTTCTGTGACCATAGCATCTAACACAAAAACGATCCAATTATATAAATATTTAACTAAAATCCATTTGTAATTTGGTCTTCCGAGTAAAGTTATTCTCAAGGATTATTATTGTAATTATACATCCCTTTCTAATTGACAATTTATGCTATGTTTGGTAAAACTAGTTGAAAAGTTAGTCGATAGCTGATAAGCTAGCTTATAGTTTATTAATAATTTTCGAGCTTATCGCTTATAGCTTATGAACTATAGCTGAAAAACTAGATTATATGATAAAAGTGTTTGGTAAAATTAACTAATAAACTAGCTGAAATAAAAATTTCAACTAGCTTATTTGAGAAGCTACCCAAAGAAGCTTATCAAATAAGCTCGAGCTTTTAAAAAAAAAAAACTCGTCCTACCAAACGGAGCTTATTTGAAATACAGGGAGTTTATAAGTTAACCAAATAAGCTATAAACTAATTTATTTGTCTACCAAACATAGCCTTATTCGTCGTGTAGGTGCATTGCACAAATGATGTTTTCTGATGACGGAGAAACCGTACATCGACCGCCTCATATTTTAGGAAAATGCTAAATTTCGTAGCGGGACCATTCCTAAAAAAAAAAAAAATCAAATGAAAAATTGTCACGTTAGCATTTATGGACTACATCTAAAAGTCCATATCAAACTAAAACATCCAATGATTAATATTAAATGAAACGAATCAAACCTTGACGGGATTGTAGCCATCCCCATATTTTATATGCTACCAATGGCGGATCCAGGATGATTACATAATGGGGGCACCATATAATTAACAACAAAAATAATTTAAAAAAAATTAATGTCTTCACATTACACATAAGTCATATCTTACAACTGTTCCTTACGAGTTTTTATTTTCTGAAAACGATCAATCACTACATCATTCGTAACATTTTCTAGCAAATCATTTTCTACATAACAAATCAAAAGATCATTTAGAAAAAGATCACTCTTTTGGTTTCGCAAATAATTCTTCACGTACTTCATCGCCGAAAAACTTCTCTCGACAGTTGCAGTGGCAACGGGTAAAGTAAGAGTTAACTTCAAAAGTTTATACACCAATGGATGCGAAAGTTATTTCTTTGTTTCGACCATAACTCGAGCGAGATCACCCTTTAGGTTGGAAAATCTTCCATCATTTCGAACATTATCAATGTACACTCCAAGTTGATCTTCAAGAGCTATGCGATCCATGGAGCTAAAGTCTTCCGGATAAATATCAGCCAATCTCCTCAACTTTGAGGGGTCAAACTCATGGAACGAGTTAGCAGGATTTAACGAAGCCGTACAAATAAGTAAATCAGAGTTTACTTCATTAAAGCGATCATTAAATTCTTGAAGTTGCATATCAAGAACAGTGTAAAAACAATTCACCGAGTAATGATGTAACTTGGTGACCTTTTCTTTGCTCTGGGCCACCTCGGATCAATATAAGATTCCACCATATCTGGCACTGCAACGTCATGTTTCTCACAAAAAGATGATATTTTCTCGAGGAGAGAATCCCACCCATCATCTCTAAGCTTTTGAAGTTGACTTTTAGTTGCCTTCACCAACAACATAGCATTCAAGATGTCTTGATCTTTTCTTTGCAATGTCATTGATAAAGAATATGTGAATCCTAAAACCTTCAACATCAAGTGTAAGTAAAACACAAAATCAAAGGTCTGCAAATAAATGAGAAGACCACATGCTTGATGTCTAGATTCATCTTTTCCATCACTTTCAACAAATTCAAACACCTCAATAACCGAAGAAAATAATTCAACCAAACGCAGAAGTGTTTTGTAATGAGACCCCCAACGTGTACTCCCAGGCCTGTGCAAAGAAATCTCTTGATGCAACCCTTTTCTTGTTGTAATTGCACCACTACCAATGACTTCTTTCACTTTGTTTTGTTGGGTTTCTCGAATCATATCCTTTCTTTTACAAGAAGCTCCAACCACATTCAACAAAGTAGCTACCATATCAAAAAAATTCTTAACATCATGATGTTTTTTTGCAAGTCCCACAACAACCAATTGAAGTTGATGAGCAAAACAATGAACACAATATGCAGAACTATTTTCTTTTAAAATCAAAGATCTCAAGCCATTAAACTCACCTTTCATATAGCTTGCTCCCTCATAGCCTTACCCTCTAACCTTTTTCATGCTTAATCCATATTCAACAAATAAAGAATCAATTGCAGATTTAAGGGACAAAGAAGTTGTCTTTTTCACATGAATAACACCAACAAATCTTTCTTTCACAACTCCATGCATATCAACAAAACGCAAAACCACTGACATTTGCTCCTTATCAGAAGCATCACGAGATTCATCAACCAACAAAGCAAACACATCATCACCAATTTCACCTAGAATAGAACGGATGATTTCTTGAGCAAAACAATGAACAATGTCTTTTTCAATACTCGGAGACACCATTTGATTATTTCTTGGAGCATTTTTCAAGACAACATTTCCTACAGTCTCATTATTTTCTGCAGTATACTTTATCATTTCTAAGAATACCCCTCGGTTATCAGATTGATCTGACTCATCATGGCCACAGAAGGGTAATCCTAACCTCAATAGAAATTTAGCAGCACTAATTGAGGTATTTAAACGGATACGATATTCATTTTTCAAAACTTCATTTTGCTTATGGAAAGCAGCTGCAATAGACTGACTTTGTTTCAACAAATCATCACATTTTTTACGGCGTTGTTATGAAAGCTATTAACATCGCCCACATGAGAGGCTAGTCTCTATGTTTTATTCTAACTCGAAAATCCCTCGGTAACAAATGCATCATTCCACCTTTATTTTCAAAGTTATCTCGAAACAAATAGCAACACAAACAAAAAATTTTATCCTTCTTCACGCTGTACTCTAATCAGTTATACTGATCAAACAAGACAACATTAAATTGCCTCAATTTTTTACCCATCATTTTTTTTGGAAAATCATGACCACGGGGTTGACAAAGCCCTCTACTAAGATATTTTCTCCTTATTTCATCTCCCTGGTTAGGATGATATTCCGTAATTCGTCTTCTATCTGCCGGGTCCCAAGGAAGATCATTTAAATCAACTTCTTTAGGCATTGAAGCAAGACATCTACCAACAGGCCCAACACTTGAGCTACACTATTATTGTTTCGTGCTCTTTTAAAAAATCTCTCCATTAATAAATCTGTCCAAATTTTATATTTATTTAACATTATTAACAAAATAAATTAAATTTGCTAAACTAAAATCAACTAAAAAAATATATCATATTCCTAGAAAATTCCAAATCAAGAAAACTAATAGTCTAATAATGCTCATCAAAAAAGTAAAATGTGTTCAATTAAAGAGAAAAAATTACCTTGAAGAAAAATCGAAAAAAATCTTGTTCCTTCTTGTTCTCAAAATTGGATGATATTCCAATTTTTGCTTGAAGAAAAAGAAAAGGATTTATTACCCAAGATCTGAAATTTTCACGAAAGTGTCGGAGCCTCGCTTGGCGCTTGCAAGATCTGAAATTTTCACAGAAGCTGCGTCGTCGCCTCGCTCTCACAGGTATGTATAATGTATCTTTTTTTTTAATATATGGCAATTGGTAGGTTTTGGCTTTTTGCCAACTTTTGACTTTTCTTTTTTAATATATGGGGGCATCGGTCCGCACCAACAATTATAAATCACAGTAAAAATAATTTTTTTCTATTTTTTTATAAATATATATAGGTATTCTTTTTTCAATTTTGTTGGAGTCCTGTGACCCCACTCCTGTAATGTGAATCCTCCAGTGTATGCTACTGCATATTTTCTTCATTTGCTTTGCAATTCACAACCAACATGTTGTTTAATCATGTCATGCTTTAAAAATGCCTTGTAAATAGTTGTTTTTAGCTGAGTACATACGATCGAAAGATCTACCTCGAGTCTTCTCTCAAGGAAGGTGATTCGGAGTTGTTTACAAACAAGTTGTTGAAAGCGCAAAAAGAGAAAATAAAGTCCTAGACATTCTAAACATTTGATTAAGAGATTTTTTTTAACTAAGTTAGACTAAGGAGTTAAAAACGATTAACTAAAGATGCAAGCTTTAATTAGTCCTATATTATACTTGTCATAGAGTGTTTCAAACACAATAAAGAGCATAAATAAATAAAGAGAAACGAACTACAACTAACGCAATTTGATGCTAAAGTCGAACGATTAATTACGAAATCACCGAACTCTAAAACAAATTTTCGATTTTTTTCTTAAAAGATTCAAATTTTAAACTAACCAAATACACAAGAAGAGCAAGATAAAAGACAAGCTATCAATTTAAACTAAAGTCGACCCTAACACGCAAATTTCGAACTAGACACTACTTTTTTTACCTCTAAAAGTAAAATAGCATAAAATCGAGATAGCAAGTACTAAACTAGGTACTTACTTCCCAAATGCATGCTCGATCGAAATAAACACAAAATGTCAGAACTTAATAAGAAAAGCGTCGCAAGAAAAGTCACCAGAAAATATGAGTTAGACCTCAACTATTTTGGTTTAGAGAAAAAAATAAAAAAAGAGCAATTCCCAAAGCGGAAAATTAAGCAAATGAAAGGTAGGTTTTTCAAAACGCAAAGAAACAA